CCGTCTAACATTACCACTCCTCACAGGTCTTCATTCCATCATACGCTTAGAGAAGCCTCCTGCTCTTCGTCGTCTCCCTCACTATCCAATGAAGCCGAGGCCGTTTACGGGTTTATGGCGGTCGGGAGAAATTGCAAGGATCACTTATTTAAGGCTCTCCTTAAAGCGAAATTTGGACTAAATAGAAAGATATAGCTATCGTTTCGGAAGGCTATCCACCTGAACGCTGCGGAATTGTGTACAGCTAGCATAGCCACTTTATGTTATCTCAGCTTCCCCTCGTCATCACCCATAATTTGTGCCTCGGAACACGTCGGAGGTCGGGTTTAGGCGTTAGAAAAGTCTTGAATGAGTGTGCACGCTATAAAAAATAGCCTGGTCCAACTTCTCTGCGCCTTCTTAGGCGATGGAGGACATCGTAGACCTACCTACGATGGAATCCTTCGCCAGTATTGCACTCAATCTTGCTTCTGCCAATTCTACAATGAGGGTGGGGGTTTATAGAGGACACTGCGAATAGGCGTTGGGAATTTGTCCCCCTTCGCCATTGGGCTAATCCAAGCATCATCAACCGGCCATCCCGCCACATCTTGAATCTAGTGCCGACAACACACTTGCTCGCATACCTAGACCAATGCCTATCCTCTCATGCCCGAATTTTCGCAAAAGCTTGCCGTACTTCCAGCTGCTAGCACTCCTCGTCTTGATGGCAGTTTCTAAAGTTTTCTCAAATATCTAAATGTGTTCTCGATTCCTTAGGGTCGAGTGTCGCCGGACTCCGGGCAGCGATTGTCGTCTCACGTGTCGTCTCACGTACTGTTGAATCTGTTTATGAGATGAGGCTGAATGGTGTACCACCGCAGCATACAGCCACAATTGTCTATTAGTCTTGCCTGCACTCTCGCAGACAAAGTTGCGCCGCCGCCTATATTGCTCCTCCCAACTTCAAAACGTCAGTGGGCCCGGATTCTCTGCCTCTCCTGAAACTGTATCTATCTAGCGTGATACCCTTGCCAGAGCCCTGTCTCGCTAGATCTATGCACCGCAATTACTGCCCAGCAATGAGCAGACATGGTGTGATCCTGAATGGACGAGAAAATGATCATTTAAAGTAGCACGCATTTGATCATACTCGTCGATTTCACGGGCTCTTGCTGCGAGCGAGGCTTGAAGTGGTCGACAGTTTCGAATGACCGCCTCGTTGGTCGGGCTCGGTAGTGCAAGTCTTGGCTGAAGTCGTCTCTGCGTTTACTCACTCCCTGGATCGTTGTGAGTGACGTTGAGAGGCGCTCAGTCTCCGCCGACTCTTCACGGGTCAGATAAACATGCGTTGGAATTGTAAAAGATGTGATGTTTGTAGTCATTCGTCCAATCCAATTATAGCCCGATAATGGAGAGTGTAGGATAATGAAGAAGAAAAACGGACCGAGAAATTTCCGTTTGTACTTCGTTCGTGGCATTCCTAATGCGAGCGTGGGGGTGCGGCCGCGGATCGACAAGTCCTGTCGCCGACCAAAATCAATCTCGGCCGTCAGATTCCTTCGAGAGCGCGCTTAGTCACGATATCGATAACGCCGACCAAGTACATGGGTATGTGGGCCAGCCTTGTGGGACATTGCACGGGCCACGGGGCAGCTTGGGCCCGGTGCGAGTCCCAGGCATCTGCAACACTGGCTGCTTATCGTCTGAGCACACTTGGGGTCAATACCATTATGCCAGCTGGCCCTGGAAAACTAGAATTCCATCGGTATGCTAAGCTGTCACACACTGCAGCCTGGCACCTGACCTCTTCCGTGACCGACCGGGCGCGAATCTACGACAGACACAGACTTGCAAGCGACGATCGTTGGTCTATCTGATACATCCATGACGAGCTGTCGCGCAGCGGCCGGGAGACTTGAGAAGAGTACGTTTCAACTGCTGTTCATTGCATTCACGCCTCGGGTGGTAGACAACATCTGCGCAACAACCTGCCTATGTCTTGTATTCCAGTCCCATTTAAATTCTCGAAATCTATTTACCGGCAACTTGCTTCTCCAGGGATCTAGCCTAGTGGTAGAGAATAGATGTTCCCAATATGGACGTCGAGGACGGTATTGATCAGACACAATATGAGTGGAAAGGTCGCGATCATTCAATTACGCCCATGCATCTGGTCGGCCTATTACCCAGAAAGTAATTAGAGCGCCCAGTTCCCCCAACTGCTTCTTCAGCGTACGACTCGCCATATTGGGATGGCAATTGCAAGGCGAGTGGGCGTGAAATGCTATACGGCGCGTACCCACTTAGATGCCCAGTGACGTGGCTCTTTATAAAATCATGACAAGCTTGATGTTTCGATGAAGTAGTAAACCTGCCTGCGGTAGGAAGAAAAATCTTGGGGGAAAGGAGGAACAACGAAACTTACAAGGCATATCTAGGCTAGTTCGGCATCTTGCTTCGATCCATGAACTGTTGAAACATGAAGCTTCTTGAGCACAGACTGGTCTTTGTCGACCGAAACCATTCGCCTCTGCGGAAACGACGATTGAGTTATTGGATTTATTACATCAAGGCATTGAGCTATCATCTCCCTATCGGATGATAAGCTTTCATTACTTCTGGCAAATAATTGCCCAACATTCCATGAGGTCGGAAACAATAGTTTTCCCAACAATAGATTAATAGCATCAAAGCTACGACGAAAGCGCAGACAAAGATCTGCTAATTGAACTCGCTTTCACGATCAATGCCAGCCTCAGCCGGTCTAGGGGTTTAGAGAGGACAACTAACAAACTGAAATAGAATCCCGACGCTGAAGTCTCCCTTGAAGCAAAAGGTAAGGTCCTGATTGGAAAGTACTGTAAATACGACTGAAAGTGCGCATATGGTTCTCTGCTAGTAGCAGCCTAAAGTTTTGACTTGAATGGTTCCAAGACTATGAAGTGAACATACGGTTTGGATGGCCTGAATAGAAGGAATTTATTGAAGAGTCCTATTTAATCATTTTGTACGCCCATGTGCTAGGCTTATGATTCATAAAGACGTCAAGACCTTCCAACCTCTTAATGATGCGTTGCAGCTAGGTTAGTCTTGGTAGCACACCAAACTAGCCCTTATTAAAGTCTCAAAGTGGCCTTGCGAGACATGACTGTGCTCTAGGGACAACTCCACTGACACCGATTAGGCTTCAAAACGGTAGAATGATGGTGATTTTCTGGTGGGAGAGGGGTAGATGGCACATTGCTTAGATTAGCCTTCAGCCTGCATTATCGACATTTGTAAGCTAGGGAAGGCAGTACAGCGGTGTAGTCATCTCTTTTTACAAAAAGACCCTCGAGGAGATCACCAAGACAAGAATAACAAGTGAGTTGTTATCACAGTAATTTTCGGGACTCTGCATCGCCAATCTACAAGGGCAATCAGTCCGAGATCCTAGTCCCTACATGAGATACTAATCTGACCGTTCCATGGAATGGTCCGATATCGATCAATTCTCTGCTTATCAAATCTTCTTAAAATAGTTCGCATATAATGCAGGCGGGTGGGGCTTTATTGGTGCATCTGACTGGTCCAGGCGAAGAGGAGAGATTTCTTGGGCCAAACATATAAATGGGGTGCAGGATTTGAATGTGATTGATTTTGATGCCACGATTTGGGCACTTTCGAGAGTCGAGGTTAAATGTCTATTGCTGGCTTCGTTGTGAACAGTGCATGAGCAAGTGTAAAGTGACGCGAAGAGTTTTGATGCCTCTAATACCCCCTCTGGGCACTATTATTACTGCTGTAGACCGCCATCACAAATGGGGCTCAATACTATGTGGAGAGCTGATGTTGGCTTGGGTAAGCTTGAGCACTACGCGATGAATTGGCAGCGGTCAAGGGCCAGAGGTGGGAGGGGAGACGAAGATTTCCAGCAAACTTTTTAGTTGCATCACTAGACCCATCAGCGGCAAGTCAAGTTTGTGGTGAGAGGTTGGGATTCAAGACTCTCGGGATCTCTCTGTGATGCGAGAGTTGGTTCTGGATGATAGTGACAGATAGTCGGATATTATTTTCCTGGAGTTACTGACGGCTTGGCTTGATTGCAGTCTACCAACTTCAGGCTACCTTCCAAGCTTTCAAGGACGTAGGCGACGGCCATGATGGTTATGTGGAAGGTCGGAGGGAATTGTGCTTGGACTTGGGCTCTCGTGAGATCCCAGCACTGGTGTCAGCGACAAGCAATGCTTTGCGAACGGCCGACGGACATTAATCAGGGGGTCGTCGATGCCTGCAGAGAGCTGATGAAGGTACGGTGTCGGAATATGTGAAAATTTCAAATAAAATATCAGCAATAAACTTGTGATATTGCTGGATGGCTTTGAAGCCGCTTGTCATCGTTGACCCAGCAGGGAGTATGGTCAAATTCAAAGGAACACAGTTTGAAACCGGCGAGACAGCTGTACAAGGTGAGGGCTTGGCCAGACGAAGAGGCACGGGCCAGTGCCAGATTGGGCTTGGCGGCGGACGGAACGAGAATGGTTCCGGGAGCACGGACGCCGCAGCGGTTGAGATGGAGCAGACGAGGGGTCAACATCTTGAACGCGGGGCAGTGACGAAGTGTGTGTATGGCGGCAGCGGGAGCAAGGTCTCGCAGGAGTCACCAGACACGTGCCGGGGCTAGGAAAGTAGAGAGCGCGGTGTGGGCGGCCGAGCAGTGCAGCAGGACAATGTGCGATGAAGTGTCCGAGGGGTCAGGTGAAGCGTGAGGATGCGCTGGCGGTGGGGCGCGGGATGCGGGTCGGGCGACTGCCGGGCGGGAGCGGGGGATGCGACGGCGACTGGGTGGGCCGAGAGGAGATGGCGACGGCGCTGGGGCGTACCAGCTGGCTGCAAGCGTGGCCGCTGCTGAGTCGACGTGGCCCGAGCACGAAGGCCGACCGGGTTCCTGGCAGCGCCCCAGCGGCCGCGAGGGGAGGGGCGCATTTTCTATATCTTGACGGGCGGCAGGGCGCGTGGGCGATGTGGGATATCCGTCTGACTTGACACTTCCCTTGGTCGCCATCAATGTTCTGCCACGGCCACGCCTCCCGAGCATCACCGAAACAGCCTGTCCCATCGTCCTTGAGCCCGCTGCTTCGTCCGGGCTGATTGCTCCTCATCGCCACCAACATCTCCCGCCTCATGTCGCAGTCGCTGCTACAATCTCGCCACTCGTCGCCGCATGCCGCCCACGCCAAACCGCTGCTGGCGCGCCGGCCCCGACTAATTCGCGCCGCTGCCACGGCTCCATCGCTCCAAACCGCCATCATCTCGCAAGAAACTCACTACAGCCAGAGTTCAACTCGAGCCGCCGTCCTCCTATCACAGGTGGCCACAGCCGGAGTCTCGCGGCAGACCCGTGGCACCAGCATTGCCAGTCTCGACAGCGTCTCCTCCCACCACGACCGAGTCGTTGCTGCCAAAGAGCCATGTTCAGCAAACAGTGAGTACTCTCTGCCCGCCGTCACACCGGCAAGTGAGGGCGACGGTCCAGCTGGCTAAAGACGACTAGGTGAAAACTATTTCAGCTTTCCCAGTTTTGAAGACTTCGACGACCAGCCCCATACCAGCTCCAAGCCCTAACACTCCTGCCGACACAGGGAGCTCATCAAGCTTGCATCGGCAGTATAGGCGTGTTGGCAAACCTGGGCACCACGTATTGCACCAATGGTCCACATACGCAGAATCTGAGTCTTGATTCTCAGAGAATAAGCCATGGCGTTTGGGATAGCTCCGTCGAGGGAGCTTTGCTATCTGATTTATGTTGATAATTAAATAAAGATATGACTCAACCGATGCTATCATGAGCCTACCCTCATCCTCCGTGCTTCCCCGACCTCTATCCCTTCCGTATCTGGGTCTATGGCTTCGTCTATTGGCGAATAGTCATCCAGCCTCTTCATCCCGTTAATCGACGGAGATTGTTCGCGAAGCTGCTCCCAAGGATGTTCAGTTTGTACTGGAACCTAATCTTGCATGTCGTATCTGAGGAATCAAGTTCGCTCTTACCATGAAGCCGTCGCACGCCTATCTTATTGATACTGGTGCTAGTTGACAATGAAGACCACCAATGACTTGGAATGTAAAAATGGTCTATACCTTTACTAGTCAGGTTATGGTTAATCAAACATTGACCAGCCTCCCATTATCCACCATGAGCGAGGAGTCGTGTCCTTCGCTTAGTTGTACTAGTTGAATTATACAGCACTCTGATGCTGAGTGGGTTGGTAAACAACTCTTCCATCTCCCAATTCGCTGTACCAGGTGATATTAGACACAAGTCTTACAGCTTAAGCTTTCCTACCCAAACCCTACTCCGAAGCCTCCATCCTTTACAACAAGTTTGCAACCTGCCTCGGAGCTAGAGCCTAGCATTGTAGTGGAATGGGTTAGGGGCCTCGAACCAATCACGTTTGGCGAACGAGATTGGTATTTGCATGCTTGTCCAACCTGTGTCGCCGATGCAGCCAACAGTGCGCGCCCTGACTATGTCCAAGGACGCGGCCTCTCTGGTCGTCAGAACCTGTCATAATTGACACCTGAGCCAGTCCTGGGCAGCGCTGGCCCCGCGGTCAGACGAGACTACTGTTTGTGCCCGGCGACTCCCCAGTGCCATCCACCTTATCTCGCGCACCGACCAAAGGAATCCGCTGTCAAGAGCGACATTCCAGGTAACTTCGCCAATCAAATGGTCGCTGTTATTGTATTTCCGTATCACTCGTGTGGTCGAGGCGTTCTAGTAAGGCTCTGTTCTGAAGATATTCAGGAAGTATAATCGCTACCTGTACAAACTGATCGATAGGCTAACTAGCGCCTTACAGTCTAAGATTCGTGATATGCCAAGGTCTGGACCAACATACCCAGCCGGCAAGCTTTACCAGCATCTAATGTACTCAATCCAATTCACTATGTTATTATCCGTCTATTAACAACAATCAAGAGGCCATTCTTGAGTGGCGACCTACACTTCACCACTAACCCCTCGATTGGCTAGGTTGCCTTCCTAAAGAACTCGTGGGTCATTTCTTTCATCATCACCCAAGAACTCGCGCAAATATAGGACCTCCCAAAATCTATAATAGCTCTTGAGAAAATGAAGAGTAGTTGGGTAACTTCACTTCCTGCACATGGAAGCATCAACAAGCTTACACTATGGAGGGCAAGACTGAACACCTGTACGCGGTGTCCTCTACGAACCTGGGAATGAAATTTTCTCTAAGAGCCGAGTTTATTCAAATGTCGCAGTACCGAACAAATTGGCGCTCGACGTGATGATTCCCTACTCCTATCAACTCAATATCTCTGTTACGGTGCGACCCAAAGGAGGCAGAATCTGCCGTCTTGGAAGTGTATAAGGTGATTATCGAGGTTCACTCTGGAGGCTTAGAATTAACAATTCGAAGATTAAGAAGAGATAATTGTGGTAGCAAGATACCAAAGATGATTATGATCAAAAGAGAGGAAAAATACAAATTGCGAAGCTGAAGACCTGGCCAAGCCATTTCTTCCGCTTCTTATGATCAAAACAATTCACTAAGACAAACTCCTGCTAGGCCTTGAACCATTCATTGCCTGAGGGAATCAGAGTTGAATTGTCAATCTCCTTAGATATTTAATCTGGGAAATAATATGTGGATCCTTCCTGTATCCCAAGTACTAATCATCCCCGAAAGCTTATATCGCTAATTTATGTAAAGATACTTTCATTATGCACAGGATTGTATTTCCGAAAGCCGGTCTTTTTTTATATTTTAATTATTTTTGGTCCTAAGCTAAAGCTATGTTTTCCACATTGGGTCAAGGACCGGCGGAGCCGGCAGGGTTCCCTGTAATCTTTCCTACAGCCTAACTCGTTTCAACCTCGTGAATCGCTACCAAAAGAGCAGCTGATAAACTGAAGCGAAAAATCAAGAAAATCAAAACAACTCCGAAAACCAGAAGATTTCTCCATATTGGACCCAAGCAATGTGCTCCTCACACATTCCCTCGTCCGTCACAACATCCAAATGACAAATTTGCCCATTCTCCGCTGACAGCAAATGATGGGTTAGCAGGCACCTTTGATTCAGCCGGTATCCTGCTATTGGTTAGTAGATGCCCGAAAGAGGACATCGTCGAGGTTGCTGTGTCCTCAAACTTCTTTTTTCAGATCCCAGTACTCCGAAACCTGTTGCCTCGGCCATTGCGACATCCTTCGCCGCAGCGACGATCGCCTCTTGGGCCTTTTTGGCTGCAGCCCTAGCTCGAGCCACCTTTGAGAATCCCCCTTGCTCGAGGTGGCGAATCCACGTGAGCTGCTCTTTGGTCACCGGTCCACATTTTCTGGGTCTGACTTTGCAGTCCCGAGAATCCGATCGGTGAGGTCCCCCACAGTTGCGACACTTAGTGAGGGCCTTGCACTCGGCTTCCGAGTGCGTGTTGGAGCCGCAGTTCCAGCAGGCTGGAACGCGGGAGCAACCACGAGTGGCGTGGAAGCCCAAACAGCGTTTACACTGTTCAATTTGGCGACGAGGCTTGTGAATGGTTGCCATACCAGACTCGTCGAAGAGGCGGAAGCCCGCACGAGGGGCGTCGTCTCGGGGAAAAAGGGCATGCCAGTTTCGACATGGTGCCCCAGGTCGACACGTCCCATGAGGTCGTACCTGGATTGGAAGCACGCCGGTCGTACTGAGAATCTTGGCGGAGACCAACCTATCATCGACCGCCCTGGGGCCGCGTACTGTAGCTATACTCACAGGTACGTTCAGTATCTGTAAGGCGACAAGATTCGAAGATGCCTCGAGTTTGGCGTTTTCGTTCGCCAGCTTCGAAGAGCCATCTAGCAACTCTTGTCGTATTTTGTCGTTCTTTGCTATCATAGCAAAGCCGGTTCTCACTCGATGGAATGAGGTTATTTGATTGTCAAAGTAGTCGAATGTGTACTCCAGTCTGGTTCTCACGCAACTTGTGGATAGATTTCGCCACAGGTGGTCCTTTTCAAGGCGAAGGAACAGTCGCTTATCGACTTTCGCCTTTGGAGTTTCTTTCCTTGGGGCTTTTGTCGCAAGTCGCGGAATAGCCTTTGCTATAGGAACTGCTTTTTGTGGCAGTCCATTTTTTACTACCGTGGCCCAGGTGCTTTTGAGGGGCAGCGCTGGGACGGCGGGAATTTGTATGCTCCTGGCGTCGGGAGCCCTTGGGGGAGGGTTCGCCGGGCGAAGATGGAGGACAGGTGGCGTGGAGGCCGGGCCCGTAGCCATATATTGCGGGATGGCGGCGCGTAGATAGACTCTCATCGAGTCAACGGATTGTCTGTTTGACCCTTTGGTCAAAGGAAGAAGGGTGGCTTCGACGCCAGAGATGGCGGCGGAGCAGATGGCCAGGCTTGCCGCTGTTTCGGCGGCGCGTCGTTGTTCAGCTTCGACAATAGGTCGAAGCTCGAGGGGATACTCTGCTTTCGTATCAGCTTTCGGCTGCGACGTTAATTTTGGCGCTGATATGGGTGCAGCGTTTTCCGACGGTTCTGATGCGGTCGGAGGAGATTTTGACGATTCTCCAATCCCGTGGGGGACGGAGGATGGTTGAGGAATTTTCTCAACAATTTCGACTGACCCGATCATGTCAGTATCGGGCTCAGTGACGGCGGGGAGGGCTTTTTCCTTCCCTTTGGTAGAGACCTTGCTCATCTCCGCGCATTTCGGAGACTGGGCAAGGCCAGGTAATTGTTCGAGAGCCCTCAGGTGGACTCTCGTGTTGTCCGACTTGGCGTTGGGACGCTTTTTGCGAACTGGAGGCATGGTGAAAATGCCTAAGCTCGATCACAATTCAGAGATGGATGCGACGAGGTCGAGAAGGGAGGATAGAGGGAAATAATGAAATTTCGGATCTTTGAATTTCTCGATTTTTTTTTATATTTTTAAAGTCCTAAGCTATGCTCAATATCTCCTAGGAGTCAAGGACCGGTGCATACGGCCAAGATCATGCTTCCCACATGCCCGACTCGGTCTCACCGCGTGACTCACTACACAACAAGTAGCTAGTTATAATAAAGAAAATAAATGCCCACACAAACTCCCATAACCAGAATTCCAAATCCCATACTCCTGTTGGTGGTTGGAAAATGACACTTCTCGTCTCATTTTCCTGCCCGTCATGTTTCGTGGTATGACCTAGTTACTACCATCTACGCTGAGAGTTGGAGACGGAGTCACAGGTGGGCACCCGAAGCAGCCGGTTTCCTGCGCAAATTTTGTAAAGTTCTCGAGTCACTTAGGCCCGAGAAGCTTGTGGACAAAGTCGTGATGTGACATTGTACCTCGTAGTCGACGCGTCTGGCGTGCGTGCAGTCGACAGTGAATGAAGTGGAGAGGTGATGTTTCCTCCCCACACGCACACTCCATTGAAGCTGCGAAGTTGTTCCAGCGGCGGTGACATGCCGCGAAGTTTCCGTGGCCCGTACGGGCTGAGATCAGTTCACGGAGTAGCCGCCGGGAAAGTGCCAGCTCGCGTGGCTTGCGTCGTTGCATGAGAAGACCCA